GCCCCTTCCACTCAATTACACAGGATAGCAGGGCGGCAACTTATCTCTAAGGCATTCAAATCTTGATCATATCTGCGGGTTCACGTAAATACACATCATCTGCTGGAAGTGGTTATACCAAGAGCACGGCTGCTGCTACCGCTTGAAACAGCAAACGGTAGCAAATACATGTGATCCGACACCTGTACAGGTGCTGGATTGCTTGTGCGGTGCGGCGCCATGTGTGCCACCCCCATCTGCCACCGCTGGTGCCGTTGTCGACTTCCAGCCGTTGATCTCTCCTCCGATCACTGAACTCGGAAGTGATGTGCATTACATCACTTCTGGTGTCACTGGGCACATTCTCCGGCTCCTAGAGCCAGAAGAAGAAGCTGGTGAAGCAGATCTCTGCTTAATCAGCTTCTTTGGGGTCCCTAGGTGACATTAGAGGACATTAAAGAGGACCTGTCTCATTATATTTGCCATTACATAGGGGGCTTCTTAGCTCCCTCTGTGATAGCAATAAAGTTAAATGTAAAAAAAAAATAATGTAAAAATCAAAGTCACAAATAATTAAAAATGCAGAAAAAGAACATTTTAAAGTCCCCCGCCACCCACGTGCATGCACATACAATGAAAAACGCATCGGATGCACCTACGTGCAAAATCGAAAATGGCATCACACATGTATGGTCGCAAGAGTCGGAGTGAGAGCAATAGTTCTAGGCCCATCAATCACTGTTAGCACTAAACTGATGAGCCGTAAAAGCATTTAAAGCGTTGCCTATGGGAAATTTTGGTTATTATAGATTTTTTGCTGTTTCACGGACGCACGCAATTTTAAGACTTGACATGTTTAGTATCTATTTACCTGGCATTACCACGACTTTTATATTTTACCAAACAATTGGGTATTATATTCTGTTTCTGTGCACTAAATTTCATTTAAGTGTATTTTATCCTAAAAGTTCTTGTTTGATAAACATTTGCCCAAATAGCGTGCAACATAAAAAAATTGCAACTAGCATCTTTTATTCTACAGGGCCTCTGCTTTCAGAAAATATACAATTGTATAATAGAAGCTGTTTTCTAGCCCAAAATTCAGATTTTATCATGTGTGTGCAAATGTAAGAAATTGCTCCGGACGGCAAGTGGTTAATGTTGGGTGTATGGTTCACTTGTTTCTTCCAACCCCAAAAGTAGGAGAAATTATGTTTATCACTTTTATTTTCAATACTGTTTATGTATGTGTGTCTCACGTTGTAAAAATAGTCTTTTGTAACTGTTTGCAACCATATACATTCAGATTAATATTAATGAAAACAGAGGTTGTAGTCCTATATGGAACTCCTCTATCAATTAACCTTCTATCAATTAATATATATGGCTGCCCATTAGGGATGCACAGATACCAAGTACCGTACTAGGTACAAGTACAAGTACAGATACATTTCCAGCTACTAGGCTAGAGAAAAACTCAAAAGTTAGGAGGCAGCTGTCATTTTTAAGGAGCATTGGGTACGGGGCTCCTGGGATTTGTGCATTCCTGTTTTAATGTATGATTTGTTTATATACAGGAGATATATATATCTCATATATATAATGAACTACCATTTTTTCCAGACCAAGAAAGGCCCCTAGAGTGTTAACAGGGTGTACTGGTCACTGGGTCACATGTGGTTGTAGAATTTCACTATCTATTCCATATTTTATGACATTTCTGGGGACAGTTTTTGCATGCATTTATCAGCTATCTGTGCTACCTTACAATCGATGAGTGTGGACTGATAAGAGCCCCCAAATCATCTTTGAAGAAGCAAACAATTTGCTGACAATAATCCTGAATAATAACACAGAAGATGGAAAAAAGTGCCCTTTAGATTATTATAGTTTTAGGGCAGAAGGGTGAGCAAGATGCAAACGTTTTGCAAGGGTTATCAAAGTTAGATACATTCAGTGAAGTATATACAGTATGTCTGAGGTAACTTATTTCTACATGAGCAAAGCACGGGTTCAGTTTAAAGTGAATAGGTGACCAAGCTATGGATATTGAAGAAATGACATATTATTAACCGGCAGTAAATGACCTTTAAGAAGACCCAATCCCTGCAGCTACTGCCACTGTGGAGCAAAGCATACTCACAGCAGAAGCACAGACGTTGTCAGAGTCTGTTCCCTCAGAAATTCAGCTCACCTTGGTCCCCCTGCCAACAGTGACTTGACAGCCTTCTAATCTCTAATATTAACACTGAGGAGGTGCACTGCAAAAGGGGGGCAATCGAGCTGTGCTGCCTGAGAGAGCTACCTGGACTTCATTGCATCTGCTGTGAACTTTAATGATTCATTTCTTTACAGTGCTTGCAGTTACTAAGGGGATTGAGGGCTTTAATGGGTTTTTTTTTACTATGTGTTACAAATATGTAAATACAGTACTTGAATGTCTATATCCTGGTCACAGTTAAGGGGAGTGATTGACTAGGAGAATGAGTGATTTAGATTAATTATCTTTACACCTATTCATGAATTTGGTTTTTAGAGTAAATGGAGGTAAGTATAGGAAGTATGACTTCTGTGTACAGACTTATTGTTTTCATCCAATTATCCCAAGGCAAAGCCTTTAATCATGCCCTATCCTGACAATTAGAGGGTCCACAGCAAAGGAAAAAAGTAAGAGGGTTAGAGGGAAGTGTTCTCTGTTTCCTCATAAGAATAAAATGTGATGATAGACATGAACTCTTTTAAAGGGTAGCTTCACTTTTATAATATTTTCCACCTGTAATTTTTTTTGTGTAAATTTCCTCCACCCTTTGCCATTGTGTACTCTGTTTTGTCCATCTTGCCATGACCACTTTTTCAGATTTTTCTGGTTGCTATTATGTAAGCTGTAAACACATGAAGCCCCCTGTATGCAAACAAAACTACTGGTGAAATCACACAAAAGCAATTGCCAGTTATGCATAGCATATCACAATGCAATTCATAGTACCCTCTGATCTATGAAATTAAAAAGAAACAGAAGAAAATGTTAAGTACTCAAACAAAAAAGCCATTTAAAATACTTGAAGATGGAATACACTAGAAATGAATCAGAATTTCCCAAATTACATGTATAACCATATGTAATGCATAAACATATATTTGTGTTTTAAGTTGCAACGGTAAATTTACACTATCCTTTTACCTTAAACCTAGCCATAGATATTTGATGGTTTGTAAATGCATTCTACATCTAATAAGTGCATTCATATTAGGACTTTAAAAAATATTTTTTTTTCTGCAGATAAGTAAATAAAATTGTGTGCTCATATCAGACAAGCATGAAGTCTACAGCAGACAATCCGCCTACGTTCTTAATAGCAGTCAGCTAGGAAATTTCAATCAGTTGCCCTTTCGCTCTAAAAAGGCCACCCATAGATGAGTAAGCAACGAAGCTAAGAGACGACAGAATTGTGTCTTCCTAGATACTGCATTAAAAGGTATTGTGCAAGACAACTACACAGTATTTTGTTGGATTGCCTTTATCAGATGCTCAACTCCTTTTACAAAAGTATTTGCACTGCAGCTTTTCAGCAGCAACCAATGCTCAGTTTCCAAGCATGATTCATAACTTATATATAAGATTAGATGTCTGCAATAGCGAATGGCTTCTACCACCTAAAGAGTGTTCTCTGTGTAAGTTTTAAAGTTACCTTCCTTTCTGCCACTACTGTGTTCAAGTGAGTAAAGGAAGCCCTGTGTAAGCACCATGTCACTCCAGTCGGAATATACACAGAAGTGTAATAACCATCTATCAACAATGTCACATGGAGTGATCCACATGCTTCTCCATATCCATTAGTGTTGTGTCATTTGTTGCTCCTAATAGCTGGATGGAACTGTGTAGCAGTGTAGGAAAGATGAGTATGGGCTACTGGGGAGGGGGCTTAATAATGCAAACCTGTTGCTTTTCCCTGCTTGAGAAAAAACAGGTTTGCTTTACAGTAACCCAGCGTGACTTAATTGCTAAAAAAATGGGGGCTATTATTTTTTGTTTTTAAATTCATTATTAAATTAACCTCTTAAAGTGTTTACTAAAGAATTAGAGGCTGTTCACCTAGCAAAGTGGATGTTTACTTTGCAAACTGTGTGCTTAGTAAGTAAGGATAATCTGTGTTCTGTTAGAATACCCAATCATGTATGTTGAAATAAAAAAATTAAAAAAACAGAATTTGTGCTAAAACCTGATGATTGGTTGATTGAAGTGATCACAGCTTTACCTTATTTATTAAACCCAGTAAACATTCTCTTAAAGGAGAACTATGGGGTCAGGGGTTTTCCCCATAGTTCTCCTTAGAGTAATGGGAGGACACAAACTAGCGTCCTCCTGTCACCCTAAGCTCAGTATACCGCGAGCTGCAGCTCGCGGTATACTGAGATGCCGCAGCCGGAGCGGATCCCGACATCAAGATCCGCCCAGCTGCGTGAGTGACAGCTGGCTCTGCCTATCTAGAGCCAGCTGTACCCGCCCCCTCCCCCGTCCATTCTGCCAGTCAGCGCTGGCGGATCGAAGCGGGGAGAGGGGAATCCATCCCCTCCCCTGTGACGGCAGAGAGCCGTGACAGGATGGAGAAGTGAGCGAACACCGGCATGTGTTCGCTCACCTCCCAATCTACTGAGCCGACCTATGACAGTCTCATTGTCACAGGTCGGCTAGTACTATGAGGTGAGTGAAAAGCACTCACCTCATAGTCCTCCTTTAACTAAGGGAACAGCTTTCACTTTTAAGTAAATCAACCCTATGGTCTATGCACAATCATTACAAGCATTGAATATTAGGCAAGGCGTACGTTAACTCCGAGTGTTTATTACTGCATATGGAAATGTGCTGACATATTCACAGATATCTGTGGTCATTCAGTAATCACTAACATCTACTTCATACACAGTAACCCTTTCTACACCTTGCTTGTGTAAAGTCACAGCAAGCGCTATTATGCTTGATTGAAAGTATAACTGGGATCTATTAGAAATCATCTTCTTACCTGTGGCTGTAGACTCTTCTTCTTCCGATGCTGTTAAAAAAAGAAAAATAACGTCAGGATATCCAGTATACTGATAAAGAGAAAGAAAAAGAATGCTTTTTTCTTCTTCTAAATTGCACTAAGCAAACAACAGCCAGAAAGTAATTATTTTTCATTCAAGTTTCATTGCAAGGCCCTTCAAGTTACAACACTGTAGCGAGTCAACGCATTCTAAAAAACATGGGCATCAGACCAAACCAGTTCAATAGTATTCTTAAGGTAGTTTCTATTAAATTATAAGAGAACATGAGAAGAGGAACCCTCTATTGTTAGCATAGGACAAGGCTCTTAATATTTTTATAGGCCCCCGGCTATCTCCTGGCAGTAAAAACATTTGGAAAACAGCACAGAGATGCTGATTTCAATATACACATCAAGCATAGTCCTACCTGGAAGTGGTCAAGACTATGCCTGCGAGAGGAACCAGTTCCTCTGTGCTAATCAGGAATGGTTTAGAAAGCACTACAATTGGCTTTTGTTAATCAGGTCATATAGACTTTATCTTTGATAAAGAACATTAGTTATCTATAAGTACCAATGATGTATAGTATGTATATGTATAGTATGACATACTAGATGAAACTAGAAAGAACACTGATTTTTGCTTTAAGTTACCGCACATGGGCTTAATGTGTAAGTCCTTTTGAAACTGTTACAATTAGATATCATTGGGTTGTATATTACCCACTAACAACTTCTATTTTGGGAACTCAATTGGAGATTTCCCACTACTATTGCTATTACACACATTTGGTAGGTTTTCTCTATACGTTTTAAAGGATATAGCTTTGTGTTTTGTATGTCAGTATCACACCCTGCTATACCATTTTAACTGATAATAACTGATATTCATCTGTTAATCTTATTCACAAGTTAATAAAATGAGACTTGTAAGTTTTTTGCCATCTTACTGAGAGCTTACATGATTCTTAAATGGGAAATTCTGTCTGGTAGAGATGTTGTGGTGTGAGAGCTGATCAAATACATATAAAAGAGAATGCTTATTTATTCTGGGACATATTTGTAAATGTGTAAACTGATTGACATTCATATACCCTTGTATCACAATAGATTGTTCCTGGTGAAAAGATCCTTGGAAGCATATTATCATGTAGGCAGGCAAAGGAATAGACACCAGTGTTGTTGTCTTTTTGCAGCTGATCTTTTCCTCATTACTGACCTACTATGCCTTGTTTTGCACCTCATCTCTGTTCGGAGGCAGCCATCTAAATAGATTCAGGGCTTTTCTTCCTCACGTGAGCCTCCAGAAAGGAAAACAGAGAGCACCACAGTAGTGACATTGCCAAATCTCACTCCAAATATCCTAAAACTAGCCATTACTGCAGATATACAGCTATGAGGCGGTAAGCACAGGTGTGACAAGGCACAATAACATACCAAGAAGTCAGTTTAGGCACTATTAACATTTCTTGATGTTCCTTATATGATTGCAAATCTTTACTTTTTGAGTTTAGGTCCAGCTTAAGCTACCAATGTGTTTTAAATAGTGGGAGGAGTTCAGAGTTTAAGATCAAAACAGTTAACTGGTTGCTCTACCTAGATTCCCTTAAAGGTTTCCTTTAAGGCTGCCTTTTTTGGAAAAAAATATTGGCGTTATGATTGCCTTCTTATTGCTCTTTTCACTGGGCAGGTGGCAACCCTACATAGACTTGACAGTAAGGGAATTGTGAGGAAGCAGTTAGTTTGCTTATGCTCACTCCCATATCAATAACCCCTTTCCTTCCCCATGAACCAGCAGCTGCTCCCCAAGCTGAACAGTGTACTCTGATTTGCTTTAGAACACATGATCCCTAACACATTTTTAATTTCAGCATTCAGTAAACAGCACTTGCACTATTATCTTTAAAAATAATACATTAGTAAACATTAAAAATTGTTAAAACCTGTTTTGACTCAAGCAGTTCATGAAAATTATGTGAGTAATGTTTGGCCCAATAGGCTCCAGCCCTGTTTAGCAAGATGTGAGCATCCAAATATATTTCTACCATTTTATTATAGGATAAAAAAAAAAAGAGATATTCCATTCCTCTATAATAGTCCTGCACAGCCTAGACTTTTTCATGTTGTGCTATTTTGGTCTAATGATTTATACACAGATGCACCATGTAAAACTGCTAAGCTGGGAAAAACAGTACAACATAAACACCTGCTAGATTTGTATTTTTAACAAATGAAATATAATACTGCATACCTGGATTTCTGCCCAATTTGGCAAACTGTGATTCTAAAATTGTATGTTTAAGCAATCAACATGGGCTTTTTGGCTCTATAAATAACTGGAAGAAAATGGTTTGTTTAAAATGGTATGAAATAGTTTGAAACTGCATGATTGCGTTGATTAAAAAGCAATCTCTGTTTTATGATTTTTTGTTCTGTTTTGCCTGTTTAGAATTGTTTCCTCTAGTATCCCGTTCACGTTGCTTTACACAAATATACTGCAAGACCACTGTTTATGCAAAAAAACCCCAAAGAAAACAACAACATATGTGTATATATATGTATGTGTAAATGCTATGATTTTAAGGAACTTTTAAAGGCCAGTCAGCCTAAAACTGATATTTTAGTGTCTGGTAGATGATGGAGAATTTAGCCCCCTAAGGACCTTGATTGTGAGATCTCTACTTGCGTATTCATACCTGCACACCTACATTAATCATTAATATGGGGTAGATCATTAATATTCCCAGCTAGATCTTTAACTTACATTATGGTGAATGCTACAGGAGTGGAAATACCCCAGGGTGCGAGGGAACGTTCAAATATCCACCATGGGTAGAAACAGGCCAGAAACCTGGCAGCAAGATTTTGTAATTTGAGTACTCCAGAGATGAAACAAGACCAGTCCGCAGCATTAATGCATGCATTACCACAATGCATGCTAATATATATAATGCACATTTGTGTGCTGCAGTGCCATTCAATATGTGTGGCACCCTAATGCACCACAACTTGCGGAAATGCACTACCATTGATTGTGCTGTCCATTGTGGTGCTTTGGGCAAGCCATTCGAATGTGCCTGCATTGAACAAACCTAAGTGGACGGGGCTGCTGTGAATGGGCTCTACCAGAATGACATTTAGGGGTCTATTCACGAAGCTGCCGAAGGATCTGGCCGTAGCTTCGGCCGATCCTTCGGCTAGCTTCGGCCCCTGGACCCCTTCGTTTCAGTAGAACCGAAGGGGTGCTGTACGGGCTATTCACAATAGCCCGTACAGCTCCCGATCGTGGCCGAGCGGCTCAGCCGAGCCGAACGCATATGCAGTTCCCCATCAGGTCCATCAGCAGAGGGCGGGTACAATGCTAGTTTACTATTGGCTATTGCAAATTGAAATAGCCAATAGTAATGTCCCAATGCTTTTCAATGGGAACATTCTTTTTTTTTTTCTATTCTGACATCGCGTGTCAGAATAAAGAAAAAAAGACACAGCCCTGTTTCTCTCCTTGGCGGCCGGGAGTGGGAGGCTCCCAGAGCGCCCAGGAGAGTTTTTTTTTTTTTTTTTACAGCAGCAGAGCCGCCGGACAATAGGAAACTATTGGGCGGAGCTAGCTGTCACTGCTAGCTCCGCACAATCGTTTTCTATTAACTTTTTTTGTACTTTTTAACTATTTTTCTGTTCTGCTCGGTACCTCTGAGGTATCATGCTACAATGGGTGACAGCATTTTTCCTTTGGAGAAAATTCCAAATTTGTAGGCTTTAAGCCTAATAAACCCTTCATAAAAAAAATTAAGAAAGTCTGCAATGTGAGTCATGAAAATGTGCACATTTCTACATTATAACTGCACTTCTTCATTACTACTATCAATGCAAAGCACTTACAAAGGTGAAAATGGATTTTGGCCTCACTTGTTATTCTGCTGACAATGTTTTATGGAACAACAACAACAACACTGGCAGAAATAAAAATGCTTTTCCTTAGTAGAGTTTAATCCTTCCCCACTTTGGCTTGACATACACTTCAATAAAATTGGATTTTTGTACTCACTGCAAAAACATTTTCTTCAAAACTCATTAAGGGACACAGGATTCAGGGGACACTGGATTATACTGCTGCCTACGGGAGGATCTGGACACAAAGGAAAAAACAGTGACTAGCCTGGTATACCTCTCCCACTAACAGTGTACCTTGGTTTTCTAATGTTGCAGGATGGTGAATTGAAGAGCTATATCCTGTTTAACCTTCCTGGCGGTAATCCTGATCCATACCACAGTCAATAGAGTACAGAAAAAGTGCAGGCAGGGCACTGGACAAAGCTCTAGGGACAAAATTGAAGTGAAATAGTTTGATACATATATGTCATTATAGCAGATTACATTGTATTGTGTGTATTCTGTGTAAATGTCATGTTTGCACTTTTGAATTTCCCACCGACTCCGCCCCCCGCTGTGACGCCCGAAAATGAAACTGAAAGCCAAATGCCGGCATTGACCGGGCGCACACAGCAGGGGATGCCGCAGGCTCGCAGGGACAAGGTAAGTGACACTTTTGCGCAATCCTGAGTGTGGCTCGGGGTTACCGCTCTTGGTACTGAAAATTACCCCCGAGCCACACTCGGGAATACCGCCAGGGAGGTTAATAGGCCATATATATCTATATTTGATGTAGAGTTGAGGGGACAGTATAGAAATAACCAACATGTTTCAGGGGCTCATGCAAATAACCCTTCATTAGGGCTTACTAAGGGAGAACATGAATCAGGACTGTAATAGCTTGAAATTGGATACTGTATTTCCAGTGTGTAAGCAGCTGCTGAAAAGATGTATGCATCCCCCACATCAGTCAAAACAGACAACTATTTTTGTCACGCTATATAGTGACAACCAAGGCCAGATTCCCTACAAGGTCACCGAGCTCATGGCATCGGGGTGGCAGGGATTAGAGGGGCAGCACAGCTGTCATTCTATTAAATAGATTTCACTGAAGCTCCATCAACTCCAAAGTGATTAAAGATCTCAACGCCACGGGTCAG